CAATAATATTCTATCTACTTGAGGGGGGCCTAAATCCTAACCCCACACGTAGATTCCCTGGGATCTCTAGGGTCTCCGGGCTTGTAAAATTTGACCTCAGTGCAGGCACCAGAGCCTGAGCCCGCCAAGGAGGAAAAGGCACGGCCTGCACTGCACACCGCCTTGGGGTTTAGGGCTTTGGGGTTTAGGGTATAGGGTTTTAGGGTTCAGGGGTTTAGGATTTAGGGGTTTAGGGCTTCAGGTTCAGGGTGTACGGTTTAGGGTTTAGTGTACTAGCCTAAACCCTGAAGGCAATTTTGGGTTTAGGGTTTGGAGTTCAGGGTTTCGTGGCTATTATTGGAAGTATCTGGGCCGATTAGGAGCTATAAGGGCTGATACGAGTTTGGGGGTGCCGTGCTTATTTGGTGTGCGGCCCACGCTGGTCGTACAACTTTGGTGCTTGCGGAGATTGGGGCAAGCAATCTGTTGGGCAGTACATAACCCTAAGGGTCCATGTACCTAATAATTGGGTACTTGGGATTTGGGTAATAGTAATTGTAGTACAGGTTTTGGTAAGTATAGGATTATTAGGTACTTGGACCCTTAGGGTAAATGAATTTGCACGTGCTGCTATGGGTATGTGGGTAGTATATTATTGTTCGGGTACATAAGCATGTTCATGCGGAGAGTGGGGGCATGGATTCCTAAACTCATCCTTGTGTAGTCCCCTACAATAGTAACGATACTCCCGCACCTAGTTTCCGTTTACGCCAGGAAATCCAAGTCACCCCCAAAAAGTACAAGCCTGAGTAAGTTGCAAATAAGCTTCCCTATCAACCCTTGTGTAATTGGAGTTTAGCCCACCCCCACAGCAGCCTTTCGTATGCTGGATATTGCGGCACCGCCGTTTCCGTACCCTCCCATGGCAGCCCAGGACAAAGACTGCTTTCCTTTGAAATGGTGCCTTTGAGAGTTTCCATGTTGATTTTGGGGTGGCAGAAGCAAAGTCATGCAAGCTTCAGAAGCAGGAACCTGAGCCAACTGCTTGGACTGGTCAGCTGCAAATTCAAGAAGCATTGAAAGCGGGCCGATTAGTGGAATTCTCTTACACTACCACCATGTCACCACTTCTCGTTACCATCGCAATGCAAGTAATTCTGGGTCTTTGCCACCGCGAGTAAGTATGGGTGGCTTGCAAATCATCCCCTTGTGACCCCCTTATGTCTATGCGAGGCGCTGTTTTACGTGCATCAGAGGAGGTATGACAGGGATGGGCGGTGCACTCCAGCTGCAACGTGTTTGATTAGATGACCGCAGCAGACTGACCAACCGCGATACCGCCATTGTAAGCCCAAAGCTTGGCAAACAAAAACGCACACACCAATCTACAAAGATCGCTGCAATGCCCAGACAAATCTTGGCATGTCTTTAATGACCGCCCGTCTTGCACACAACGACTGCGCTATTGTTCACACCTGCAATCCTGCACGACCTTCATATACTAGAATACCACGATGCCCAAGATCACGATGCCCAAGGTTTTTTACAGCATGGTATGAGGGTCACACAGGATTCTCGGTAACAAACGTGGGGATACATAGAGCTGCCGCGCTCTCAGGGTTGTTCTGAAATCCTGCGAACATCGCTGCAAGACCGTAGGTGAAAAAGCCCAGGATTTTGCCAGGAAGCCCCAAAGTAGCCAAAGCACAGCACCATGGGCGTTAGCCGCATTGGCGTTCGCCATTGGTGTTTGCCAGGAAACTCAAGGCAGCCTAGCATCATGGGCATCAGCCGCATTCGGATCATCGGCATAAGCTGCATTAGGTTTAACCACCAAGCCCGAACATGCGCATCATCACGAGCACTAGTCGCATTGGGTGTTGCCAAGCAGCGCACACCAGCCTACCATCATGAGCATGAGCTGCATGTTTTTTTTTGCCAGGACACGCAAACCAGGCCAGCATCATGAACATCGGCCGCATTGTTGTTGGCCAGGAAGCTCCATTCACCACAGCATGGTGAGCATCAGCACCAGTGGGTTTTGCCAGGAAGTTTGCCAGGAAGCCCAAACTAGGCCAGCATCAAGAGCATCAGCCGTGCGGTTCGCCAGGAAGCCCAAACCAGGCCAGCATCATGAGCATCAGCCGCACTGGATTGTGCCAGCAGAAAACCAAACTAGGCAAGCATTATGAGCATCGGCCGTATTGTGTTTTGCTAGGAAGCCTTATTCTTCTAGATCCCATGTCGCCTCAAGGGTCCAAGTACCTGTGGCGTGTATAATCGGGCTAGAGTGTACGATAACCCCCCCCCCCCTGAACTTCTAGAGATCACCGTTAAGTGCGGACCCCATCGTCTCCTCACGGTCTTCATATCCTCAAAGTCCATATAAGCACCCCTGTCTTGATGAGATCAAAACCCTAGATCCCTGAAGCGTGTAAACCCCTACATACGAGTATGCGCACCTGTGACGCTCCTAGAGCAGTCCTCTGACCACAAGCTGTAACGCTCCTGTAGCGAACCCCAGGAATCCCCACAACTTAGGTGGTTCTCCTACCCACTAGTAGTGGTGAGCTTTCAGAATTTACGCATCAAACGGCTTAAGGGCCTGCCTGAAACAGCCCCCAAACCACTTCGTTGAGCATAAAGTTCGCAGAAGAAGCCCAGAGGGTCCCAGTACCCACTAATTAGGTACTTGGGTTTTATGCACTACTACTTATAGTACAGGCTTTGGGCAAAGTATATGATTACTACGTACTTGGACCATTAGGGAAGATGTTGACTTTGGCAACCTGCCGGATATTTGGGTATCATTCTAGCTGTACGGGTGAGTTTCTGGTGCCTAGGATGAGTAGATCTAGGGTGTTCAAAGACCGAATGTACTTGTAGCGCAAGAGTTTCTCCGTGACAGTGGGGCCAAGAGTGTCCAATTTCGAGTGCATTCTCAACTCATCCAGATGCCTCCGGCTTGTATCGGTGGGGGAGACTCATGCTGATCTTTCGACCATCACAAGCCTCTTTACTTCGTTGACTGCTAGCATGCTTCCCGTATGTTCTTATCCATTCGCGTACTCCCTTTGTGTTTCCTAGAAGCATCTAGCAACGGGAATCCTGTCAGCTCCCTAAACTCTCAATTCTACACCCTAAACCCTAACACCTGAGCTCCGGAACCCAAAAACCTCAACCCTGTACCCCATAGCTTAAGGTCTGAAACGCAATCTTCAAACCCTAAACCCTATACCCCATGCCTTAAACGCCGAAACACAACCTTTAAACCCTAAATCCTAAACTCTAACCCTACCTAAACTCTACAACCCATAGCTTAAACTCTGAAACACATTGTTCAAACCCTAAACCCTACACCCAAGCCCCAAACCCTATACCCCATACCTTAAACTCTGAAACACAATCTCTAAAGCTTAAAACCTACCCTAAACCCCTTCCCCATACCTTAAACTCTGAAACCCGAACCTTAAACCCTAAAACCTACACCATGCCTCACAGGCTCCGGAACCTGAGCCACCCAAGCAGGAGAAGGCGAGCACACTCCTCGGGTTTAGGGGTGAGGACCTAGGAAACCGTAAAAAAGAGCCCTTTGGGGCTATCGCAGAAATTAGGGGTACCCGTTTTGACTGTGTTAATGTTGTCGCTCCAAAGGCTACCGCATGTGGTTGTTTTCGGTACATTGTCAGGTTTGGTGCAATCCCCAAGCAAGAGCAGTTGAATGGTTTACAGACCCTCATGCACCCTCAACTCACCACAGATCCGAAGCCTGACTAAACCCCTAGACCCCAAACCAGCCAAACCTAAACTCTGCAGCCCAAAGTTTTCATCTCCAGCTTGAAAAACCCTTGACCTAATTTGGAATGAGACGATATCCTCTTCTTTCTGCTCGATTTTCTAGGAAGAATATGTTCTTACTTGCCACCAAAATGCTACAGCGCATCTAATACTTCCATGACTCCTTACAGAATTCCAGCCCCCATATCATTTTCCAGCTGATTCTCCATCATTCGGATGATATACCTACAACCCATAAGGCCCACATCTCGTGTATGCCCCAACTTTCCACTTCATTGTTCTTTTTGTTTTCCAGTTGGTTCTCCATCATGGCTACCGTATTTTGCAAGATTGTTAACATGCCAATGGTAGCCTAAACTCGGAATGATATGGTACTTTGCATTTCCTTTTCCATTGTTGGTACTACTTTGACTTGCGCAGGCAAAATCTGCCGGCCCAAGCGGTAAGGCCTGCATGCAGGGTAGGGATGGGTCTGGATTTGGATTTAGAGTTGAGGGTTCAGGTTTAGGGTTTTGGGGTAGGGATGGGCGTTGGTTGATAGCGCACCCTTCCCGGTACTTCAGCAGTATGGGGACCCTGATATAGCTGTTACTACTTCTTGTGGTCGTTATTAGTGGGTAGGATGGCTGTTTGTTTCAAGGTGCAGTTGGAATTGGTGGGAATTGGGCTATAGGGTAGGCCAGGGTTAGGGTTTAGGGTTTATAGGGTGGGGCTCCCAAGTTACGTAACTATCCTTATCACGTATGAGTCCCATAGCCGCAAGTTACAAGAGCTTAACTATGTTTATCCCTATTGTAGCCAATTCACAGCCAACTTATAGCTGGGAGGCCATTCTTGGTAGGGAGTGGGCTCATGGTTTGGGTCTAGGGCCAGCTGAGGGCGCTGTAGGGTCACTATAATTTACGGTTTCAGGTTACCTCTGCCACAAGACTCAGAACAGCAGTCCTCAAGCTATGCAAGAACTAAAGTCTGAAGCCTAGGTACCCCAGTAGTACCCTTTTGCCCTTCTCATTTTAGGGTCTCCTTATTAAAGCTGAATATTGGGAAAAAGGGTACCCTTATTATTATGGGTTTACTGGGGAACCTAGAAGCTGATCAGGACAACAGCAGCAGAGACGGGAATGATAAGTGTCATGCTCGAATGGGCAATAGTAGCAGCGGCATCAACTGAGATATGTAGCTGTGCGCCGGCATTGGATCTGAATTGGTCCCACAAAGGGCACGAAAGGGCAGTAATTAGAGTTTTCAGTAACTGTACACACGCCCCTCGAGCCCTCTAGAACCGTGGAAGACTGAGACCCAGGACCTTCCAACCTCACAACCCTCGAACCTAAAATCCAACTGCATCCTTTCCATATGTAAGCCAGTTGCAGTTCCTAACCTGGTGAAATCCGCGTTCAATCCCTACCCGGCCCTACCCTGAGGGTCCAGAGGCCCAAATCCTCTACTTAAGTTCCGAAATGTCTATTTACAAGCCCAACCGTAAGGGTTCACGGACCCAAATAACAGATATTCATGTTATTTGGGCTCTAAAACCCTTATTATTTAGGTCCTTGGACCCTTTTTAGGGCATTAGAAACCTAAACCCTAAATCCCTTAGTCCGGAGGCTGTGAAGGAGCTTCGCGAGAGGTCGCGTGCTGGCATCCTGGACCGACTCATGCGAACTGGAGTAGCGCCCAGAGAGGGTCGCAGTACCCAATCTTCAAAGGGGATATATAGGGATATATAGATATATATATATATATGTATATATATATAGGGAGATATAGGGATATTTCGGGGTATATAGGGTTTAGGGTTTAGGGTCCAAGTGTCCAACAATTACTTACTTCGTCTTTGATTGGGTAATAGGACTTATAGTACAGGCTTTGGATACGCATATGATTATTTTGTACTTGGACCGTTAGGGAAGGGTACTACCCAAGAAGCCCAAAGATGCATCGTCGGCCAAGCTGGCTGGTAAGGTTTGCTATGGCCGTTAAGCAGTGATAGGCTTTGTCGGGAACATGTCGGGATGCTGGCTTGTCTTTGGGAACACAGCTCGTGAGGTGTTAATCTTTGAAATTGTAAGGCCTGCCCAAACATCGGAGTTCCCCCTAAAATATATATATATATACATATATATATATGTATTTATATATATATATAATATCATGGAGTAGCTTGAGGACTATGACCCACATATCCCTAGCGTGACCCTACACTACAGAGCCTGAAACCTTGAATCCTAAGCTATATTTGGACAAGAGTCGGATGTTCACGGGGCTTAGAAGGCGTGTGTACATTTGTAGCTTGGATTGTATCCCTACTTGTGCTTGGTGCAGCATTTGCAGAAGGCAAGGTTGCGGAACATGAGTATGGTTATGAAGGCAACCAGTCTGCTACCAAGTCACACGAAGTTTCAGATACCTTACTTCCCTTGGGTAGTTCCTTAGTCTTTTGGTTCTTTGGTTTCTGGTCAATTTTGAAGGGACCCCAAAAGACTAAGTCTTTTGCTGCTTTCCGAGAGGGGTAGAGGATAGCAAGAAACAATTAGGAGCCCGAAGTGCTTGGATGGATGAAGAAGTTTTGTCACATCCCTATTGGCCCTCGCACCCAAACAGGAGACTTCCTGCAACGACATGTTTCTGATATCATTCCCCAAATTAAACAGGCCTTCAGAGTGCATGTCCTGATTGTCAGGAGCCCAGGAGAAACAAAAGGATGCTAACCTTTTTCTTCTAAATTAGCATCTATAATCGTCACAGTCATGTATTCCTGATTATAGTGATTGGGCTTCCCAAAGATCTCGTAGCATTGTAAGTAGGGATATGGTTGCCCCCTTATGTTTGACATTTTGGTTGTGGTACCTCATAAAGACCACATAGTCTCGCTTGGTTCAACCAGCTGAAAAACATAATAAAGCTTCAATAGCTACTTGACCCCCGCCATGTGGTCCTCAGCACAGCAGGATTGCAAGAAGGCGCTGACCGAGTGTGATGGGGACATGGATAAGGCCTCCGATGGGTCGAGGGTTTAGGGATTCAAGTTCCTAATCTTGAGGACCACTGATGAGATCGGTTCCCCCAAATTAATGTGTCGGAATTATCTGTTCCGGATACTGGGGCGACTGCAGATTACTGCAAGGCTCTTCGGAGCCTGGATGAATAGGACACAGTCGGAACTAATGAGAGAACCCTGGACCAGTGGGACGATGTAAAAAGAGTGCAGGGCGCTTTGGAGGCTTGGACTACAGTAATGACAGAAGGGGCGCCGCTTGGACCAACCCCGGACGAACAGAGGCGTGGTCTAATGGGGCAGTCAAAAATGGCATCTGTAGTCTCTCCAACTGCCACACGATCACTGGAAGTGCGCTAAGCCATGTTGCAATCGCGAAGACCAAGGAGCCTCACCCGTCCATAATGGGCAAGGCAGTAGCCCCGATAAGTCGCCCCGACGCGCAGAAGGGCTTCGAGAACACATGGCCATGCCTGCAGCAGAAAGTAAACTCCGTCCCAAAAAACCCACAGGAGCAGGACTAAGCCTTGCAGTGTCCAGTAAGCAGCTGACACTGGCGATAAAATCAGATCAAGTCCCTGAACCCTTATCCTGTCGCGGAGCCTAAGCTCCCCAAAGTGCCATCCAAGCCCCTGCCGCCCCATCCCCAGCCCAAGCCCTAGCACCTGCCCTGCGCAGACCTTAGGCTGCAAACAGCTCGGTTGACCTCTAACCCCAACAACCTAAATCCCAAGCCTCATGTCCAACCACCAGGCCCTAATCCGTGCCCAGGCAGTTGCAACTGGGGTATGAGTACAATTATTCTTGGTTCACAAGTATCCATGGACCCCTGAAGCCCTCAAAGCCTCAAACCCAAAACCTAAACCCTAAACCGTAAAAACCTAAAACCCTAAAACCTGAACTCTCAACCCTAAAGACGGAGCCTCCGGCCTTGGAGGCCATGGAATGGCTCAAGAAGAAGGGCATGGCTAAGGCAGACAAGAACCTCGGGGGCCCATAGCAGGCTGTTGTTTCATCAGTATGAAGGGGAAAGGGAAGGAAGAGGGGGGGTTGGGTCTTAGGGCTTCAGGGGGGAGGGTTTGAGGGTTTAGGATATATAGTCCCCCTTAAGTAGATGAAATATGGCTTTGGCCATATTGAAATAAGATCCCCATATATCCGATATTCTATCTACTTAAGTTGGACTATAGGGCTTAAGGGGGACGTTGGGGGTTTGGGATGGCGTAGGTAGGACTTCCAAGCTTCTGGTCTAATTAGAAGGGTATGGTTTTGTGTGCTTTGTGGTAACTGAAGTGGGGGTTCATGCGTGTGTAGAATTGGCGTTAGAAGTACCTTGACACAGGTGCATAAACACAGCTACCCCTCTTGTAGCCCACAAGAAGGCTGCAGGAGTTATGGTGTGTGACCTCTCAACCGTGAACCATAAATCGAACCGAGGAAAGCAGGCAATGTGGCCGTGGAGGGATGCGTTGCCTCTTACGTCCACTTCAACAACAAGATCGCGGTGCTGGTCGAGGTGGGCTGCGATCTAGGGGTTTCCTTCTGAAAATGGGGTACTGCGCTAAGGGTCCCAGTACCCAATAATCATATACCTGCCCAAAACCTGTACTAGAATTGCTATATTACCTGAATCCCAAGTACCTAAATATTGGATACTTGGACCCTTAGGGTACTGGGGTGCCAGGGATATGAGGAAGTTGGAAGGGGACTCTACTCAGGATCCCATGGGGCTATGCCTTATTTATTAATCGCGAAACAAGACCCTAAACCCGACATCCCAAAACCGTAGCTACGAACCAGAAGTCCTTCGAGTGCTTCTTCTGGGGTTGCATGGTTGTTTGTAGGCGCCCCGGCTAATAGGAGGGAGTCCTGCGCACGTGGCAGCGGAATCATTCGTGTCTAACCCGTGTCTTGCTGCAAGCTTGCTAGTCGACCGACACCAGACAGGTTGTAGTTTCCCTAGGGGATCACAACATAAATCCCAAAACATTGTAGTCGCTATCATAGGGACCACCAAAAAACCATAATCGTGAGAACCACCCAGGTAGTGTTGCTTTCCAAGCCCGCAAGCTGGCAGGTGAACAGCGAGACTGACTTCGTCGCCAGCAACGCGATCTTCAAGGAGTTCACCGCAGACATCGCCATGCAAATTGCTGCCAACTCGGATGTGGCGTGCCCAGGCCTATCTTCAGAATATGACTTTATAAAGGGTTAAGGGGTTAAATCCTAAACCTACACCAGGTTCAGGCCCTTTAGAAAAACGGCCGGAAGCTAAGACTTTGTATGTAGCCCTAAGGGTCCATGTGCCTAATAATTGGGTACTTGGGATTTGGGCAATAGTAATTGTAGTACAGGTTTTGGTAAGTATAGCATTATTAGGTACTTGGACCCTTAGGGTAGTTATGTCACTAGGAACCCTTGAGCCCCAAGGCCTGGCCTCATATCCGAAACTGAGTTCCTACGGTGGGTGGAAGATATCTTGTACCACCTAAGATCCCAAAAATGTTGTAATTATTGGGGGGTATAGGGTATTTCAGGTGGCGCAAGCTTCCTCTACCCACAGTAGGGCTCCAAGTCTGTAATTCATATCTACCCGAAGGGTCCAAGGGCCCAAGTAATATGGTCTTAGGGCCCAAATACTTTAATATTAATTGTTGTTGGGCCCGAAAACCCGAACATTTGGGTCCTTCAACCCTTAATGCCTTAATGCCTACATTGCACCCAAAAATCTACAAATGTTTCCTATATCGAAGTATTTTCGGGTATGCTCCAAGGTACCTCACGACGGATGATGTCCCGGCTGCAGCAAACGGGCTACGTTTAAGGGCTGAGAGAGTTGGGGTTTCTTGTGTAGTTTCCTTTTGTTACTGTTGATACAAAAAATCTTGCATTACCTTACAGTATATTACTATACTATGCTCAGGACCATGCAGGAGTTTTTATTACCAACCCTAGCCCCTAAACCCAAAACCCTACACCCTAAACCCTATACCCCCTTACGGTCCTGCTGGAGTCTCAGTATGAGCGCAATGCGTCCAAGCTTCCAAGCACTCAGTGATCGCATGCTGTTCGAGAGATAAAGCCACGAATTTGCTCTCCCAGAGTTCCCTCGTTTAGGTTCAGGGTTTAGGGTTCAGGGTTTAGGGTTTGGGGTTGACGGTTCAGGGTTTAGGGTTCCTGGCCTAGCTCCACCATAGACTTTTAATGCATACGCATGGTGTCGTCCCAGACTCCACCTCGAATAATGCCCGCCCCCATGAGAGACATTCGAATAACAGTACGTCATTATGGGATATCGGTGAGATTTCTTAGTAGGGGGTGGGGGATTTATTATTGGGATGAGGGAAGCACTAAGAACCTAAGCCCGTAAAATCCTAAACCCTCCATCCAAAACCCCAAATGGTGAATTCCAACCTTGAGGAAATGGAGAAAGAGAAGCAGCTGGAAATGGCCAAGGCCTGGCAATGGGCAAAGTAGGCTGAAACTAAAAGAAGAGTTTTTGGGTTAGGGAGATTATATTGGATGTAGATCTATATTTACATAGGGTTTAAACGGGTTTGGGGTCTATATAGATTTTTTGAGGCTTTGGCGTTTGAGGTTGAAGGGCTGAAGCCATAAAACCTGCATCGCGCTCAGTACCTTATACCTCAGGAATTACCCCTAGGCTGGTATGCGGTTCCGGGTGTAGGAGGAAAAGTAGGGCTCTGGCATTTCGGTTTAAGCCGGATTTCTGCGGTCCAGGGTACATGAGGTCATGCATCCATAAAACTTATCGGGGCGTGAAGCTTAGACACAAGACGCTTTTCCTAAACCCTAAAACCCTACACCCTAGAGCCCGAAACCTCTACACCCCAAAAGCCCCACACCTAAACCTCTAAACCGTGTGGTTTGGTGCAGATCTCCATGAGCTTCATGAGTTGGGGTTGTACTCTGCTGGGACGTCCATTGGTTTGGGTTTGCGGCTTAGGGCATAGGATTTAGGGTTGGTTTAAGGGGCTTGCAGGTCCATTTATACATATCAACTACCCATATTTCCCAAAATTGGGTGTACCTTTTGGGGAATCATGCAAGCAAGAAACTACTCTTTAGGGTTTGCGGTTTAAGGTTTCAAAATGAGGGTTACCCTTTTGGGGGTCCCTATTAAATCATATATATCAGGATTGTAGTGATTGGGGTCTACTGTAGGGCGCCCCTATTTAGGGAGACTACCATATCCATTTACATCTGTCCTCATATGCCAGGGTTTAGAGTGCAGGGTTTAGGTTGGTCATCAGCAGGTTGTGTGGGGGCCCCTAAACCCAGAAAAAAACAAAACCTGAACCCATGGACCTCCAAGCACTCCGGACTCTGGCGCGCAGAGCCGATTTAGGGTTTATATACTATACATCATAAAGACTCATAGTTATAGCATGTTATAGCGTTGGTAAAGCCAATTCCTGAATCCTAACGGTTTTCAGAACGTCGAGGACGATCTCGACGGCAAGCCTGAAAACATCAAGGAGAAGATTGTCGTAGGCCGCCTGAAGAAGAAGTTCGAGGAGCCTTTGGCCAGGATTTTGTGCCTTACCCAGAGGGTCCATATATACAACCATTAGGGAATTGGGACCCATAATTCCTTCTATAGTATGGTATTTTGGGGCCTAATTCCTTAATAGTTGTATATGTGGACCCTCTGGGTTATGAGGCTTCGGATTTAGGATTTCCGTTTGAATGCTCAGGATTTAAAAGCGGATGAAGCTGCATTTTCCGTTGCGGTCTGCATGGGCAGGGGACCATGCAAGAATTTATGGTGTACAAAGGCGGATGTCTGCTTCCTTCTAGCACCCCTAGCTTTGGACGTTCAGGATTTTGGCATGCTGGGCTTTCAGACCTCATGATGCGCGGTCTTTGTATGTTTTTGCCGAGTTTCGTGTCTGCGCTGTCCCAAACAAATATGGAAGCCCAAAATGAGCCTTCAGCTCGTTTTCACATGGGGCAATACTGTTAATGTTAAGAATCCTGCATGACCTAAGTATCCTACAAAGCAGTAAAATCCAAGGCTTGGCCCTAGACCCTAGACCGTGGGTCATGCAGGATTTGTGGTATCTACCGTATGGGCTTCCAATAGTTGTCAAGGGACCCTGGATTCTACAATGGCAAGGTGGGGTCAGTACCTATATGGTTTAGGGTTTAGTGGTGTAGGGTTTAGGGTCTACCAGTTATGAGATTTGTAACCTTGCTTATTCTCAGTTCTATCCCACTTATGACCTATAACTAGGGGGCCCTCCTGGATGTCTAAAGGTTGAGATTCGTTTTAGGGCGCCTCAAGCAAGGGCCAGGGTTTTGTTTTAAATGGCTGGGGCCCCTGAATTCAAACCCCTGAAGCCTAAGCCTAAACACGTGAGACAAGCCTTTCAAAGAAAAGAGCCCTTAGCCAAAGCCCGAACAAAACCTCCGCCTCAAGAAAATGGTATCCTAAGGGACCCTACCTAGATTAACCTCGACCCTTACAAAAGATAAAGACGCCAAAAGGCTAGGCACAACCCATTTATTAAGTTTCTAGATGCATATAGGCTATATTAGGTAGCTTAAACCCTAACCCCTAGACCCTAGACCAATTTGATTAGGGTTTAGGATGTGGATTTAGGGTTCAGATACTTGCTTCTGATATTCTTCATGGGCATCGTAAGCTTGTAAGCAGTTGTTGATGATTGTCTGCGGTGCATGGTATTCAAGGGGATAATATGCTGATGCCTCCTAGCTCTAACCTACCCAGTTGAGGGTTTAGGGTTCAACATGGTGGGGGCTTAGGGGTTTATAGGGTTTAGGCTGGAGGACACATAAGTTGCGAGACTCCCTACAATCTCCACGGAAGCCCAAGAGATGATTTTCACTAAGAAGTTGCCAATGTGGTATCTGCAAACAACAGGTTCCCGTCATATTGTGTTGGCTTCCCAAATGGGACCCTACTGGTGGAAACCCCCATGTTTGAAGTGGAGGTTTCCATGAATATGGGGTCCCCAATATGGACCCCAAGGCACAATGATGCATTTCATCCTTAATATAGGACCCCCTGGAACCTCAAGACGGGACCCCTGATTTATGGAAAGCCCATACTCAAGTTTGCGTTTACCATCCGTGCGCACCCCTAAACCCTAAACCCTGCTGAGGAGAAGGCCCTCATGGCTCAGAAGCTTGGTCTGCATCGAAGTGCTTGTAAGGCCTGTTTTAGGGTTAAGGGTGGCCCAGACCCCTAGGTTTCCGCAAACTCCAAAAATCCAGGTTTCAGTCATGTTTGTGCCGCAGATGACAGGAAGTTGTTGCACACATCATGTTGACATGTTTAGGGTTAA